ACGTCACTCGTTATGTGAGGACATGCCGGGACTGTCAGCGACGCAAGACACCGCCGACAAGGCCAGCGGGACTTCTGCAGCCAATTGAGCCACCTTGTCGACCTTTCCAGCAGATTGGTATGGACCTACTAGGGCCGTTCCCGACGTCGGCTTTCGGAAACAAGTGGATCGTGGTAGCTACCGACTACCTCACCCGCTACGCCGAGACAAAAGCCCTGCCAAAAGGCAGTGCATCTGAGGTAGCTAAGTTTTTCGTCGAAAATGTCGTCCTACGTCACGGCGCTCCGGAGGTCCTTATCACCGACAGAGGAACGGCATTCACTGCCGACTTAACTCAAGCGACCTTGGCATGCAGCCAAACAAACCACCGCCGGACGACAACGTACCACCCACAGACCAACGGCCTCACCGAGCGGCTTAACAAGACGATCGCCGACATGCTGTCAGTGTACGTCGATGTCGAACACAAGACATGGGACGCCATTCTTCCGTATATGACCCTCGCATACAACATGGCGGTGCAGGAGACGACGCAGATATCTCCATATAAATTGGTCTACGGAAGGAGCCCGGCAACGACGCTCGATGCCATGTTACCCAACGTCACCGACGAAGAAAGCCTCGATGTGAGCGAGTACCTTCAACGTGCCGAAGAAGCCCGACAACTTGCGCGTCTCCGTATCAAGAATCAACAGACGATAGACAGCCACCGTTACAACCTTCGACGACGCTTCGTGGAATACCAGCCCGGTGAACGTGTTTGGGTATGGACGCCGATACGCCGACGTGGACTAAGTGAAAAGCTCCTGCGACGCTACTTCGGACCGTACAGGGTGGTTCGACGTGTCGGCCCACTTGATTACGAGGTTGTCCCCGACGGCATCACGAACTCTCAACGACGCCGATCGCGACCTGAAGTCGTGCATGTCGCGCGCCTCAAGCCGTTTCATGCGCGTTAACAAACTGAAATAGTGTTTTTTTTGTATTACTGTTTCATCGTAATTTATTCATTATACTTTCTTGCATTATTATTGTACCTTCATCTTTCGTTAAAGCATCGGGACGATGCCTTTTTTCAGAGGGGGGCAATGCCACGTTTCATTTCCCAAGTTTTCGTTATCGTCCCAAAACACCACACGATTCTCAGCGCAAACCGCGCCTGCAGTTTTCCAGAAGGTTCTGGACTGTAGTAGATCATTTCGATAAGATCACGCCCACTGTGCGAACGGTACAGATTGTTCTGGAACCTACGCCACCGCCAGCGATAACGCTAGAACATTCGATGGCAAGAGTATAAATGCCGACGCGCTTCGCCACTTGTCAGTAGTTGTTGATCGAAGGCCGACGCTCTGTTCGCCGCTAACAGTCCGAGACTGCTATCTGTGCGAGACTGCTGCTGTAATTGGACTTTCCTTTTACCGGGCACAGGTTCGCCCAAATAAACAGTTAAATCCCAACGCAAAGTCTCCTGTCTTCGGCCACGTCACGACCCCGTGACAATATATATATATATATATATATATATATATATATATATATATATATATATATATATATATATATATATATATGGGATGTGGCACAACGGGAGCGTTGTCAGCAAGGATAAATATATTTATTTTCCAACAGTTTCGGAAGGGGTCCTCCCTACATCAGGGGATGAGTTATACTAACATGAACTTCCAAACTTTGTTGCTGCCGCGTCTCTCTCGCCTTGGAAGATGTTTGCGAGAGTGAGAGAGAACTAAAAAAAGAAACAAAGAAAGAGAAAAGAAAAAAAGAGAAGAAAAAGACGAAAAGAATAAAAGGAAAAAAAGACAAAAAGAAAAAAGAGAAAGTAAAAAAGAGGAAGAACCACTGTCAACACTGAGAACAAAACCAAGTGTCCGTGTACGTTAAAATCCGGTTCTTATCCCGTGCTGGTCAGTTCTCGACGTGTGTCGGGCCAACCAAGATTGTCAGCCGCGGTGGCGGGAGGGGTCCGTGAGGGCATGCGCAAGGTAAGGGTTTCTCCTTAATGGGTTGGTCCACTCTCTTTCATCTTCGTCTATTTCACTTCTATGGTCATCAAGTGGTAGGCGAAGAGAATTACTTTGTATGTGCATCTGAAAAAAAAGAAAGAAAGAAAAAAGAAGAAAAAAAAAACAAGAGAGGACAGTGTACACGTACAAGTCAGTCAGAAAAAACAAGCTTGGTCTCTAGCTATCAATCTTTGTCACCAATTTCCGCCCGGCTTACTTCTCGGAGCAGGAGAGTCTACCATGGTCCTCATTGATGCCGGCTATTAATGTTCTAAATTTGAAAACAAAATATGCCTCACGCTGTTCTCACTCGCGTCTGTTTGAGAAACCAAACTGCAAAAGAGTTTGCAGTCCGGTTTCTACCCCCTCGAAAGAATGCGCGCGTTGCATATTACAATGCATGATGAACAAGCAGTCTTAGAACACACACAAAAAATTTTCAAATAAGCTGTAGTTTCACGTCAGATAGAAGTTCTGTAAAGTCGCACAAATATTTCACAGGAGAGGGCAGCAATCCGGGGTTAGTACAGCTCTGGTGGGCGAGGCTGACTGTTGCGTTCTGGAAAACACAAATACACCATGGGCGTAGAAACTGATGAAATAGCTGCCATTATTGTGAGGAGTGGACGCTGTTTGAAAGCGTTGCAGTAGATCGGTCTTCGTCGTCGTTGTCCTTGCTGCGTGCGTGCTCGTTGTCGTAAACTAATGGGATGGTGTCTGAATCCTTGCGTGGTGGAACTGGTCACTTCTTGTCTTGTTCGGTGTTTCCTGAGGTTTCGGAGCTGTAATCTTAGGCGAAGTCTTGATCTTTTGTGCCAAATTCGTTTCTGCCGCCAATCCCTCATGCGAAGATGCCTCGCTTCTTGAATTTGTTTTAAGAAGCTTGCTTTGCGTCGTCGTCCTTGTTGGTGCGTCCGTTGTATTTCCTGGAGTTTGTGGAGTTGCTTTTGTTGAAATTGCTCCTCTTGTTGCGAAAGTTGGTCAGATGGGCGTCTTTCAGGAACATTTGTCTGCTTTTCTTTGCATGGTGATGTGATCAGTAGATAGCTGGTAGTCGATACTGTACTGCTGGGCTTGTCTTGCGATGAAAGCATCGTGACAGACTGATGAGAAATCTCACAAGATGGTTGTGAGTCATCATTGATTATAAATGCTTCTGTCAGTTGACAGTGCGCCAGCGTTGGTGGATTCGAAATTCTTGCAGTGCTTTGACTCACATGTGTCTTATCACTTGACGATGAGAGCACAACAGACATGGCTTCGGGTGGTTCTGATGGCATATGTTTTTATTTTTGCAGCGTGATTAGGTTGAGAATGTCTGTCGAATGACCCTGGTTTGCAACGTCAGGGTATGGGTTGGTATTGTGAGGATTCACCAGCTCGTCACGCAGGTTTGAAACCGCCTTGACCTTGTGTGTGACACGAAGCAACAAGGGATTCGGATGGTTCAGTAAAATGTGAAGTCTTGTGGTACAGTGAACTTGTTGAGAATTCCGATTTCATTTCTCTTGGGAAAGCCGGCTTTAGGTTTAGTCTTTTGGCGAAATGGTCTAGATTCCTTTCGGTATACGGAGGCTTTACCTTGTCTATTGCGACGTGCAAGTTACCACTCCGTGTCCGAATGCGTGACATTTTTTCGGAAGAGTCATATGATGGTGCAATGGTGGTATATTTTCTCTGAGGTCTCGTTTGAAAAGTAGGATTACTGCGGAAAGACTTCGCCTAACTGTGATGGGTGAGTTGAAGAGCCTTCCACTGGTGAGGTATGGACAGATTTCATCGTATTTGAACCAAGCGATCATTTCTTGTTTGATCTTTTTCCATGACTCGTCGTTGTGAAATATGTTGGTGAGGTAGAATTTGAAGGCCTCACCGGAGACGCAGTCGGTAAAGTTGGCGACCATCTCCCGTTCCGACCGTGATGCAGCGGTAGCGTGGAGCTCGAACAGGTCGAACCAGTCCTGTACAGGTCCATCGCCCACATCTCCGGTGTACTTGGGGATGGGAAGGTCGGTCGATGGTTCTGTCATGATGCCGGTAACCGCATGCGCCTGAGATCACCTCTTCTGTGGTCGATATTCAGTTTAGGCGTACTGCCGGTGGCTTCTTGAATGATGTCAGGTTGATGAGCGGTGGCCAGGTCTTCATCCTGTCGACTCGTGTGATGCTAATATGAATGGGAGACGTGGCCTGGCTCATACGCCATGTTTATTTCATTCTCACTTCTTCCTCATCTACCTCTACCAACTCCTAACCATCACTACCTTCTTACGTAACATATATACATAATATAGTCATTTATACATTTACCAGCCGGGCACCATAGCCGCGGATGTACCATGGCGGGGACCAAGGACCAATTCACATAATAGCGTAAACAATGCCTTCGTACTTCAAATCAATGACGTACTCTACAGTTCAATTCTTTTGTGTAACAATAAGGGCGTAGTATTCTAATATATTCTTCTTGGAGCATTGCATGGTGTTTCAAGAAGCAAATTGGTGGCGTGACATTTTTTTTTTCAAGCATTCACTTGTTCGTTATAAATCATGCCTCTCTTAGTGATGGTGAGTCACTATTAACGCTGTTGTCATTAGTTTACTTAGGTGACATGTGTAGATGACTAGCGAACTCGTCACCTAAACAACCAAGATAAATCTGACTGCATTAATTCTATCTAAACGAACAGAAATGATCACACAAGTCTAACAAACAAGGCTGCCTCGTAGTTCAGCTAGATTTTATTTCGATATATTAAGGCCTCCTGTGCGCAAATTTAGTTCCGTAAATGTGCATTCATTACGTGAATACATTTTCGTGGCACGTATTTTCACTATACGGGCAGGTGCCGTGTACAATTCAAGAGGCCACTTATACACTGAGCTCCAGAGTAATTTCCTTTTATTTCAGATGCATAAGCATAGGCGTGTATGAGTGCACAGGAATATCATGAAATGAAATGTCATTTATTTTTGCAGGTGACACGTGCAGTGGGGATAGCGGAGGCCCACTTATGCAGGGTGTTCACAGAGATGAGAAAACATGGACACAGGTGAGTCTCACTGGCCAGGATACACTGTCAGAATAAAACATTGCTCCTAAACGGGTATGCGAAAACAAGCGCACACCCACAGCGCTGAACCACCGCTGACTTTGTCATCGTTATACATGGAACACATATGTGATGTCACCGAGACAGCAAAGTGAAACAACGTCTGCGGTCACCGGCACACGAACACTGCATCCTGCGAAAGAGCACGAAGAAAACGGACGCATTGTAGTTCTTGTTACGAACCTTCAAAATCTGAAGAAGCATTTCGTAGCGAAATGTAGCCACTGTGAACGTATCTATCTATCTATCTATCTATCTATCTATCTATCTATCTATCTATCTATCTATCTATCTATCTATCTATCTATCTATCTATCTATCTATCTATCTATCTATCTTGATAGATAGGTAGATAGGTAGATAGATACATATCTGTCTATCTACCTATCTATCTGCTATCTTGATCACCCCCCTATTTGGCCCTGAACAAAAACTAGTGTCATAGGTTAACATCGTTGGACTGGTATATTGGCACGCTGGTCAATACTTAAAAAATGTCACAATACCGTCGCGAGTATCGTATATATTCATGTTCTCCGAAATAGGCACCACGTGTCATGCATGACGTAAGTACCCGTACACAAATTATTACTTACGGGTTCTATATTAGCTATTACTTGCAACAACTATTGTGTTCGTGCTTGCGATCAAGTTTTAAAATTGTTCACGCAACAAACTTAGGACATGTCACCTTAGCTAAAGACCTGTATAAGTCACAGTATTGCCTGTGACGATGCTTCCATAAAAACTTGAGCTGGCTAATTTGACACCAGCTGCAAATTTCAAATAAATTCAATAGCTGGTTACAACACATTGCTAGCATTCAATGTGTGGACACACATTAACATTATGTCTGCGTGGTAAGAGACAAAGAGAAGCGAAATTTTTTTAGACGAGGCGAGTGTGATTTACTAGTGTTGTGAATGCACTAATGATTTTTAACAGTTTGTGGTGGATGCACCTTTAAAGACAAGCTTTCCTTCAGCCATGAGACGTCTTGAAATTTGAAAGAACTGGCTTTTTGGATGAGAGAGATAAGCGAAGGAGCAAAACAGGTAGAGTGTCCGGCTATTCTAGCTAACCAGGCTAGTCTCGCTTGGCTGACCTACGCGGGGAGAAAATAAGGAATAAGACAGCGAATAAAAACAGCAAAAGAAAACGACGCCAGAACGTACACACAACACCCTTCGCGCTGGTAATTTATGTACCGGTCGTCTTCAGGTAGCTTAGTAGGGCTTTTGTGGCCTTATGCGTGCCCAAAACCATGGTTCAAGGTCCCAGTACCTTCTCTTCGGACAGTGTTTTTGCATCAAAATGATTTAGATTTGCTCTTAGAACACGTCATTCACAGGGACAGTTGAGCAGTGGAAAAAATATGTCCATTGCTCTCCGCCCAGCTACATACGAGTTCGATGTCGCACTGTTAGTCATTCATAGGATATGAGAGTATTATTCGTAAAGGCCACTCCAAGCAACATGCGACACAACAATGTTACAACTCGATAAAAAGTCCGGATGGCAAACAACGTAGTAAGTTAGGGTCAACATAAGAATTGAGGGACCCTTAAACAGCGCCTTTAAGAGTTGAACGTGATAGCGAAATCCGGCCCCTAGTGCGCTCTTCGACCGCTAAGTGCATACTTTTTTTATATGTTTCCTTACATACACACGCACGCACACAAACAGCCCCGCCGCGGTGGTCTAGTGGCTAAGGTACTCGGCTGCTGACCCGCAGGGCGCGGGTTCGAATCCCGGCTGTGGCGGCTGCATTTCTTATGGAGGCGGAAATGTTGTAGGCCCGTGTGCTCAGATTTGGGTGCACGTTAAAGAACCCCAGGTGGTCTAAATTTCCGGAGCCCTCCACTACGGCGTCTCTCATAATCATATAGTGGTTTTGGGATGTTAAACCCCACATATCAATCAATCAATCAAATCACGCACACAAACACGCACACAGTAGATTGGACCAGCGCACGCTATTATCGCCGAATGGTCTCGTTTTCGTCGTGACACCTGTCGAAAAAAATGCGTTAAAGAGGCCCTTAAACACTTATTTAAGTAACCATGAAATAAATTCACTAGAAGATCTTATTGTCTCACGAATTCAACGCCGCCAAAGGTTTAGGAATCAGTCAAGTGCGAGTGGAAATACAAAGATTTGTCGCATATTGCAATTCCATTATCTCTTCTCTGATCTTGACGAAAGCGCTGAAAGCTAAGCAGGGAGGGGTGGCAGGGCAAGAAAACTACTGCGCCTCGTGACCTTGAGCACATTTTTTCTTCGAATGTGCGGCTTTATCAGTGCCATCGTGCACACGCGTGGACAAGTAGCGTTATCCCGCGGCTATCTCGGTAACTTGATTTTTCGGTCATAGACGCAAGGACGATTTTTCGCTCACAATCAACGGGGCTGATACCGGCGGCGGGTTTTCTGCAACATGAGCTATTTGGGGCTATCGCGCTTATCTACCTTGCGTATTCTATTGTAGAAAGGCGACGCAACGAGCAAACAATTGTTGTTGTCACGCCACGTCCGATCTAGAGAGCGTTATGGGCATCCACAAATCTTTTACATGAGCTTCGTTGGCGTGGTCCTTGTCGGCGATTCTGCAATGGCTGGGAAGCCGCTGAAATTCTTTATCATGTCCGTTCTCCCGTTCTCGAGTGTGAGCTCGTAGTCTTGTCTCATGCATTAGTAGCTCATGTAGTCTATGCCGTAATGCAAACTTTTAAGCAGAATGCGTGAAGTTAGATACCGCCTCAGGAGATGATTACACTGCACCAGCCCTGAGCCCGCAAGCGGCGTATAATGCATCGCGTCTCTTCATTCATTCTCACTTGGTTTTTACAAACTGAAATAAAGATTTGATCAATTGATTGACATTCCCTAATTACCCGCAAGGCTAAAGGTCAAATTATTTTATCCGCTAGTGAAGTGGTGCACATGTTAGCACTTGCGCATCACCTCTTTCGCCTGCAAAACTTCAAGTGTATGAAACTTTTCATGTCTCTTATTTCTACTTACAAGTGCTGTTATAAAAACCAATCTTGCGAAGCAATAGAAGTAAAAAAAAGCAAATGAATATTCAAATTGGGAAATATTACAATATCTCTCACCAAAATGTATCAGTGGCACGCGAACCAGCGCATGGGTTGACTTAAAGATCCGTTCATCATTGGCGCCTCGCCAGATGTTAACCTGTTCAACATGTCCTCCCACGTGGCGCATAGAATGAATTTTCTGAAATTTATTCGTGCATCCGCAGAATCTCGTTCCTCGACACCATCTGACAGTGTAAAAAGGAGAGGTCCCAGCCTTTTATCTAATCACTTACGGGACCCCTAATGTTCTAGCGCGTTCTTGAAGTGCTTGAGCCAGCTTTTGCGCATGCTCAGTAAAGGTGGCCACGCCGCACACCACCGGATTGTACTCAGCCACAAGCAGCTTCACATCTATAGGTTCCTTGTATATGCGATCGGTCTTTTTAAATTGCGAGGCCCTTTAAATAAAGCAACAAAGCGATGGGCATTCTCGAAGCGTTTGATGCGCGTAAAAACTGTAACGGATGGAAAGCAACGGCGTGACAGAAGTACACGAAGTCATACTCACATCAGGCGCGTAAGCATGTTCAAAGAACGCGGACAACGCACACGCCCCTAGTACTACTACACGAAAAAGCTGCCTTGCCTTGGGATAAACACAAAACAGCATGCACGGCATGTGTTTCTATGTAGCACCAAGATAAAGAAATATCTTCAGGAATCAAGCGTGTCCAAAAACAGCCCATACTACTGCAACGGCACCACACGGTTAAACAAATCCACAAGAAAGACAGAAAACAGGAATTACAAGCGCCCACTCTGAACTTTTATTCACATGCGCAGAACATCAATGTACACATGTGAGTAAAGTTTCAATTGAGCCCCGCCGTTGTGGTCTAGTGGTTAAGATACTCGGCAGCTGATCAAATCCCGACTGCGGCGGCTGCATTTTTGATGAAGGCAAAAATGCTGTAGGCCCTTGTGCTCAGATTTCGGCACACGTTTACGAACATCCGGTAGTGGAAAGTTTTGGAGCCCCCACTACGGCATCTCATAATCATATTGTGGTTTCGAGACGTTAAACAACACATATCAATGAATCAATCGATGAAAATTTTAACTGAGAGCCATTGCTTGTGTTTTGTGTACCTTTTTTTGTTGTGCGTTTGTATTACCTTCGCTATTGGAAAATAAAAAGAATGGTGGGCATGGTGTAAACCACCACCCACCATTATAGTGGATGAATGTAGTGGTTGAATGCAGGAAAACGTCCACTATGCTGTATGGTGAGATGTGGTGGATGCTGCAGTGCCGGCAACGCTTGAGTGTGAAATGGCGTCAGAATAATCGTGACAATCTGCCACGAAAATTAAAAGAACCGTATAAAAACAATTGTAAAAAACAGGCTACCATGGAGATTGGGACTGCCAGGGGGCCACGGAGTGCAGTCACGCATGTTGCGTCAGCTCCGCAGATTTTCAGTGATTCTCAGCGTGAAATCAAAAAATTGACGGACGCCTTCTTACAGTGAAGAAAGTGGAAGAAAGTGAAGAAAGTGGTTCCACGGAACCCCGCGATACCGCTTTCAAATAGGTGGACGGTTAATTTTCGGCACATCAACCACATTTCTGTAACGCCGATGAACGCACGACGCCGTTGCCTCCAGCTGCTGTGCATAATGCGCTTGGCCTAGCCCACGGACGCTGGCGTCTTGAGCCCCCTCAATACGGCGTCTTTTCGGGTTAATGCCACAGGATGGCTACGATGAGCGTGGATGGCGAAGATATCACGCAACAAGAGTATGAGAACGAAGCAGGTTGGCGCCTTGTGAACAGAAGAGGACGAGCCAACAAAGAAACCACAACGCATGAAGCCAAGGTCCAAGAAACGCACTTCTC